ACTTGCTCTACACTGATAATCCAGCAATCCATCACCCATGATTAAAACCAGACATCTCCAAAGGAGATTGTTTTTCGCCTCCTTGAAAAAGCTCAACTTCAAGTTGAAAAATTAGCTTTGATAAGAAACTTAAAATATTTCATCTGGAAACTGTCAATATTAAACCTTTCAATTTCCTGGATTGTTTATTAAAATCTGAAATTATTTTAAAAATCCATCCACTCTCCATCCTTGGGCAAGAGAAAAGCAGGAGCTAAACTATTCCCAGTTCTTCTTCATGGATAAACAGTGCATTTTTTTCTGCCAGCATACTTACTATTCAACAAAGAAACCTCCCACCTTCACTGGGAACATGCTCACAAATGCATTCCCAAACTATCCTTTCTCCACTCCAAATCTTTAAAATGTCCTTCTGAAATCCTTTCACTACAGTTGCTATCAAAGAATTGTGATTGATATTAAACACAGTAATTTTTTTTTTTCCTGCTGAGCACAAGGGTCTAGTTTCAAGAGTGAAAGCCCAAAGCGCTAGAGGCCAAGCTCATGGCAACAGTACTTGACCAAGTAACATGACTGGTCACTCTTCAAACTGTTGCCATCAGATCCCGTTATGAAACTGGCCTCTTAGACCTGGACTAAACCAGCTTGCTCCTTCAACCAGGGGACCTCTTGCTGCATTACCAAAGCACAAATCTTGTATTTTACAGGTCTTAGAGGGGCTCAGACTTACCATCCACCTGTCTTTTGGCAGAGCCCAGTCCTGCCATTGCCAGAGGTGATTTACAGCAGACCTTGCAGTGTGATTTAGGTGCCTGCTTTTCCCAAACTCTGCTGTTGTTGGAAATAACTTGGGTTACAAGGCAGCTTTTAAGGAAGCATGCAAAAGCGTGAAAATACAGATGCTGCTGCTTTCATCTCAAGGATAAGTTACAGAGATGCCTTACAGAGATATTTGCTCAAGCTTATGAAACAAAATATTCCTAAGTGCTCTGCAAAAAAGGGTGAATATGGAAGTGAACAAGTGAGCTCGCAATACTTTGTTTTTACAGCCCCAAATATCAATCCCAAACAATGAAACACTACGAAAGAAACTCACCATATAAAACAACTGCGTGATATAAAGGCAGAGGAACCTAAAGTTAAAAGAAATAATAAAACAATGCGCATGGGAGGGAGAAAAAAGAACTTTCCACATACAGTGGTGGGCTCTGAGCTGACTGTCACTAAACAGAATAAAGATTTGGGAGTTATACTGAACGGCACTATGAAAATTTCAGAACTATTCCAAAATGTCAGTAGCAGTCCAAAAAATATATTATATATAAGGAAAGGAACAGAACAAAAAATATCGTAGTGCACCTAGTTATATACATATACAATGCAACTCCTATTTAAATAATTCTGTGTAGTGCCAGCTTGCCCTATACTTGAACTAGAAAGCATAAAAGGAAAGGCAAAAAATACGAAACAACTTCTGCATAGGAGATGACAAGATAGATCAGGATGCCTCAGCCAGCCTGGCAGACGATGACTGAGGTTATGACTGACACGTATACAATGACAGGTGACACAGAGAAAGCAGGTAGGAAATCACTGCACACCATCTCTTCCAATACAAGAACCAAGGTTAACAAGTGAAACTGGTAATATCAGAGGAGATGTCACTTCACCTCTTGCATAATTAGACTGAGGAACCAACTGCCACAAGAATTAAATGCTAAAGATCTACGTAAACTAGGAAGCGCCTGGAAAAAAGCTCCTTCCTCCAAAACAGAAAGACAAGTTTTCAAAAAATGTTAACACAAAGAAAGCTGTTCCTCCTGGCTGTGCAAGTCCTGAGCTATATCCTCTGCGGGGCTTGCAGCACGTACCAGGGAAGCCCTGCTAAGTCCTGGTCTGTTCTTTAATCTGTCCTAGGTATCATCTAAGTGCTCAAGAGAGCTTTGATACAGAACCAAAGGATATGACAGTAATCAGGACATTTTAATACATATATTTTTAGGTCATTGGCAGGGAGGGGGGAAGACTTCAAAAATTCTCAGACTGTCACATCATTCTACGCCAAAACACAGCTTCCATTAGAAGATCGGCTGCTGTTAGGATAATACTGTGACTTTGGGAAGTCCCACCTACCTTGGGAAGGGAAGACAAAGAAGTCTGAAAATAGAAAAGGCTGCATACCAGGAATGGAGCCGTCAACTTGCCAGAGATGTCTTGACATTGTTCCGCATTCACAAGCTGTGGATAAGGACAGCTCAGATCATCTCACATGGTGTTTCGACACAGTTGTTGGGTGGTTGCAGAGAAATAAGTTGTTTAGAAGTTGTTTTTCTAAGTTACCTTCCAAGAAAAGCTTTTGTAGAGGTAATTTTGAAAGTAACACCCACTAACAGAAAGTTAGAAATAGCCTGACTATTTTTTCCTTTAAGGGGAAGATGGGATATGAACATAAGAGTTTCAGAGCTGTGTGCAAAATATCTGTGGCACTAGTGAAAAAAGTTCTTACCTCAGGTCTCTTTTTGAGCATTTTGTACACTAGAAATGAGATACAGACATGAATTAATTTGTCTGTCATAGAAAGCTTCTTATATAGCTTATCACTTTGGGTCTGATTTACTTAAGGAATTTCAGAGTATGTTGATTAGAGAATATGACAAAGCAGCTACATTAGTTAAAAACACTTTTTCCTTCTTCTTCTTCCCAAATAAGACTTCTCTTATGAAGCCTTCCCAGTAGGAAATTTGGAAAACTGTCAGGTTGTTGGTTGGATTTTACTGCTGCTAAAATGTATGTTGTTGTGTCACGTCCTAAACAAAAAAAAGACAAAGCGCCCTTTTAAAATTCTCAGCACTGCTGACACTTCCAACAAGTACTCAGCATTGGCTTTGGTCTTATCTGTTTCTAACAGACAGTCTCATGCCTTGGAAATTTGACCTGAAATAAAAATTCAGCCCCAAGTATCTGCTGTCAATTGCGCAGAAAATAGGAGATGACAGCAAAGTCACTTCTGCATGCCGAATTAGATCTCCTTCCAACATCTTCTAATGTCATTATTAGCACTCAAATACACTGTGTCAAAATGTGTCTGTATAAGGAGATGGACCAGGCAACATCAAATTTATCCCTTAGTTGATATGACAAGCTGTTTTGGACTCAAACCTCTGAGTAGAGAGAGACTCTTAAGAAAAAGCATCTACTCCATCAAGAAGATTTGTTTGTGCATACAGATATTATAATGGGTGGAAGTAGTTAAGAGAAAAAAAACTTTATCATGCAGTTCCGTTGAGTTCTTGGAATCAATAGTGCAATATAAGCTGTTAAAACTTATTTTGAGCCTTAGTGCCTACGCTCCAAATAGCCAATGTTTCAATGCAAAGAGTTTCAACAACAAGATCAACTATTCTTTGTTTGGAGCCAGCCTTAACAGCAGAGACTAATTCTAAGACAACTATGCAAGCATGGATCTAAGTGTAAAACTGTATGGTTTTATAACAATATTCAGAAGATGGGGGAAGAGAATAGCATTTGGAAGGATTCTTTGTTCACAGTTTTCTTTCCTTCTGTCAAAACGTATCCAAACAAAAACTGAATAGCCAGACTCAAAAGGCATCTACGTATTGACAAAGAGCAAGTCCTGGGAAATCAGCAATGTAGCAGTGAGAAGGCAGCATTTGGCACCTAAAAACAGTGTCAGCGCCTCATAAATAGCAAAAACTACAGCAGCCATTACAGTTCTACTCCCTGCACCTGCAAGGCAAAGTTCAGAAGGTTCATTGCAGAAATGAAATAAGCTACCATGGAGAAGGCATGAATTCTTACACACACGCAGCCATTAACTAACCTAGATAGAGAAGAAAGCCTATTTCATTCCATTAATAAATGGACATCAACAAAGTTCCAGTCTAAGTAGCGAGGCTTTTCCTGATATTGCATCCTTTTATAGCCTTTTAGTAACCATTTCATTCAAATAAACACCAGCCAATTTATTACAGGGGAGCAACAACAGAATTTCATCTATCAAAACTAGATAGCCACCAAATTCCCCAAAACCAAACATTTGAATATTTGGGGGGTTCTTACCAAAGAACTTCAGGTTTAGACCCGAAGCAGCTCTAAGCCACTTAGATTAATCACCTTGAGAAGGGGTCATGCTCTGCTTTTTGTCACGGGCTCACAGAGCTGTAACAACCACAGGTGTCTCCTGAGAACACTCAAAAACAAAAAGAAACAAAACAAAAAAAGCAAAAAACAAACAAACAAAAAACTCCATAAAGGGTGCAACACTTGCACCCCAACTAAGACTGATGAAACAATAAAGGAATTTATCAGTTCATAATTAAAGAAGAGTGCATGAGAAGCCCTAATCCATACCAATAGCGCTCAGAAGTGCAGTGTCTCACATCAGGCAGACACACCAGCACACTCCAGCACAGGCAGAAACGTGCAGTTCTGGTGCTGACACGGCCCAGACGTGAAAATAAGACGTGATAAATCAGCAGGCTACCCAAGATACAACAGAGATCCCTGTGTTTGGCATCATGAAACACCAACACTTGGGCTTGGCCTACAAACAACTGTCACAGGCTTAAGCACAATAATTCCATAGACAGTTTTACAATCACCTTCTTTATGATCAGATCTTCTAATAAAACAGGAAGGGGGTGAAAGAGACAATTGAGGGGAAAGTTGTGAATTACCTAGCATCTCTAGAAGAAAGTTTTTTTTTTTTGCTCAAGTAACGAAGTCTAAAAAGTCACGCGAGTATTAGGCACATATAACACAGCACTTCAGCTCTCAGATTTCTAATTTAATAAACTCAGCAATTAAAAACTGATTCAAATGGTACACGAGACATGTATGTTTCCCTTAGCGGTGCAGGATCAGAAAGTTTCTCACTCAAGGATTTAAAATGAAATTTCCCTAATGTGATTTTATAAGGCACAAATTAACCATTCCTGCCTATGTTACACTGCTCGAGCAAATATATTTATGGATTACAATTGATGAAACTTTCTTCTAGTATTCTCCACACTATAGAAAAACGTGAAAATTGTCAACAAAGCAAAATTAGAGAAGTCATTTTCTCCCCTTTTTTTTTTGTTTGCTTAAATAAAACATCAAAATGAAACAGAACACTTTCCAGACCAATAATTTTAAGTGCTAATATTTGAACCCTTGTATATCGAAGGCTTCCTTTTGGAATCCATTCCTTACTTGGGTGTCCATAAGGCAAAAACTGAGAAGAGCCATGTTAACTTCCAGGATTCTCCATTTACTCTTCACCTTGCAGCGTGTCTTGCAGAGAGCCCCCACGGTCACAGACTGATGTGAGGGCAGCAGAACTGCCTGGCACTCCGGCACTCGCTGGTCTCCGTGGTCCTTGGTTACATCTGCTCCTTGTCCTCCTACCAACCAGGATCAAGATGTCCGTTAGGCACCACGAAAATCAGTAGGAATAACAGGACAGCATGTGAATAGAGGGCCTATAAGTAGTCAGGAACTGTCTAGGCTAAAATTCTGTATTTTGCCTCCTAAGAGAAGTGCAATTAAACATACTTTTGAGAAAAAGTGAACTTCATGTTTAACATTCCAAAAGATACTGTTTTCCCAGAACTGAATTACACTTCAGTGAAGATTTCCACTCTTACTCATAGAAAGTCAAAACCAGACACACATCCACAGTCTTAAAATAACTCTCACTTCATAATCAGTTCAATCAGCCAGGCCTAGACTCTGGTGGGGAAAAATAATAATAATAATAATAATAATAATAATAATAATAATAATAATAATAAATCTACCTATAATACTCACAATTATTTTGCCAGAGAAATAGCACATTCTAATAGCTAGGAATATTTCAGACTTCTGGTGATTTGCTAAGAGTTTTTCAGATACTCAGATCAATAAAAAGTAGCATTCTATGCTGAACTTAACTAGTGAATGTAAATTCCACTTAAAAAATTTGCTCTATAGTATATTCTTGGGATGGAATATGAAAGAAACTATAGACGGCACCCAAGGGAGAAAAGGGAAGAAAATTACTTCAACAAAACAAGAAACAAGCAAAAAGCACTCCTTCTAGTTATAAATATTGACCACAAGTATATACATTTAATGATATATTCATAGCAATATGTGTGAAATTAAGCTTACGCACCACAGTCCCACAGAAACAATACAAATAGCTACTTGCCTTTGCAACATTTTGATTTCTGAAAAGAACATAATATTATTAACTGCAGCAAAGGTTTTTCAAAATACCCTGGTGCTTGATCAACCATTCTAGGAAAAAAAACAGCAGGAAATATACTTTTCTTGCAGGCTTGCAGGTACCACAGTACAAATTCATATTTTCTCTGTTAATGGACTGACTGCAAAATATGCACAGAGAACGGAGAGACAGAGGCACCTAACGCAGCATTCCCATTCCCCTGATGTTGCATCAGACACGGCCCCTTCCAGTACCAAGCTCCCTTTCCATCCCGGATCCCAACGGGCAGGTTAAACCCGGCTGAGCAGCCTGACGAGCACGAGACACAGCGAGGTAACAGGGCAGCCCTGCCCTGCGTCCCGCGCTGACAAACCGCCGCAATTCAGCCCTGCTGGAGGCTGCCCGGGCCCGGAGCCCTCGGCAGAGCCCTCAGCCCGAGCCCAGAGCCTCCTCACATAGTCCAGGCTGCACAGCAGCTGCCAGTGCCAAGTTCACCATCACACCTTGCTCCTTAGGACGGGCTTTCTGTTTTCCAACCACTCTGCTCCAAGGCGCTCCCAGCTCTCCAAGCAAGTGAGGCAGGTGGCATCAGGCACCTCCTCTTCCTCACCAAACCATGGAAGGTATTTGGAGGCTTCTAACAGCCTTATTAGAATGTTGTTAATAGCCTGCAGCTGCTTACAAGGCTTTTTGAAATCACCCTTTGAGGGCTTTTTGACTAACTGCCTCATTCCTGCACAGATCCTATTCCTGAACTTAATGGCCCCATGCTGTATTTACTCTGCCCCCTTCAGCTACAACATTAAACTCGATATTTCAATAGTCACTAGTTACAAAGCCGGACTCACAAACTCCACCCAAGCCTGGCCCCAGGGCAGCTCCTTCCTTTCCAGGGCTCCCAGCCCAGGTGCTGGAGGCTGCAGCCACCTCCCACGTCGCCGGCCGCCCTCACTGCCAGCCTCCCCTGCCCCTCTCGCCTCCCTTCATATCTCCTGAGCACCACTACAGCTCAGAGCAGGGGCTGGCAACACGACCTTAGCCCTACATTTTCATTCGAGCACAGGATTTCTGCTCCACAGCCATCCTTTTTCGCCATTACATGTCTCTGCTCTTACACTGCACAAAATTGTTCACGTGCAGCATCAGTCCCACAACTCCCATCCTTCTCATCCCTCCTACCCGAGCAGCATCCTGCCAACACCAGCCACCCTCCTTGCGCCAGGCCTGGGCTTCCAGGTAGCCCAACTGCCTCCTCCCAGATGTGCACGTGCATCCTTTTGGGGCAGGGGGCTGCAGCTCGCTGCTCTCCACAAATGCCCACGCAGAAAAGCTCCAGGGGCCTGGGATGAAATGATGCAGGAGAGCAAATAAAGAAAAGGTACATGTGGTTAGGCTACATAAGACCAGTCTTGACTGCAGTATTTAGATTTAATTAATTCTCATCACTTCACCAGCACAACCTTGCCTGGATTCCGCACTCCTTCCTCAACAACATCCATCTGTCAAATTATGCGCTGCTCGCTGAGACCAGAATATTATAGCTGCAAGAAGGCATTTAGCCCATCATGAGCACTCCTGCAAGGGAATAAATAATACTTAAGTCCAAAATAAGAATCATGGATTTTTTTAATTGCATTTGACTGGGTTGATGGCCTTCATCTCCTAGTACTATGTTGTTACTGCTACAGGAAGATGACATCTTAGCTTATAACTGTGCTCAAGACATCTGTGAGCGACTCATTATTGCCTTCGTCTCCTACAAAACATTGCTTTCAAGTGAGTTAGAAGCCAAAAACCGCACAGAAACACCTGGGGTCTAGAAACCCGCTGCTCCATCTGCAGAACAAGCTCCCTACCTGCCTGATGCGGGTGCTCAACTGCCCCTTGCCTCCCCAGGCAGCCTGCAGCCCGAGGAAGGGGCGATATCCACACAGTATCTGCCTGTTAGGCCTGCTTGTGTCCAAAGCGTTTGAGAAATCAGCTAAGTCATGAGAGATTTCACGGTGCAAGGCAGGTGCTGCAACGTGACTGACGAGGAACCAGGAAGAGAGGGTTAGCAGGCAAGCAGGTACTTTGACAGCAGCAATTTCTGTTTCAGTGGGAGAGATAGGCTTCTCGGGGGGCTTATTGGTTCATTTCATTACTTACTGATCTTTGACTGTGAGAAAGGCACCTGAACAACTTGAAAATATTTTAAAGTGTTCTCTATAACATAATTGAGAGCCATCATTTTTCTAGAAAGACAAATTGCCTTTTGATTGGCTGTCTACTATAATAATTACAAGCCGAATAATCAAATCCTTTCAGCATAGCTTTCTCTTGTCAAAAAATAAAAATATAGAGTGAAAACAGACATTACATGCTGTTTCGGATGTTTTTTTCTTTTCCACCTTATAATTAAATGGCTTGCTCTTGCAATAGCTATTTTGCTCTTGCTGCTACTAAAATAATCAAGATTTATTTCAAAGTCCCTACGCACGTGCATGCAAGTATTACCATGCTATATCACTACTATAAAAATAAAATAAAAATCCTGTTACTACACTCACTACCAAGCAATTCATTTCTTGTTTTCACAGCAGAACAAGCATATTTCACACTGGCATTATCTCACTCCTCCCAGCACAGAGCAAACAATACCACAAGTACTTTCCAGGAAAAAGAAGAATTTATAGGAAATGTTTCTTCTGGATTAGTAAATAGTCTCTAAATGATGTGAAGCCTCCTGCTCTGATGCACTAATAGTGCCTCATGTTGTCACGCTTGTCTTGGCTCATTTTGAACTACTTCGTTATTTTTAGCTTTTGAAGTTAAATATATTGTGATTTGAGAACCTCTTCTCTGAAGATACTTGTCTTAAATTCAGCTTTTGAGTTAAATTTTTATTTCATTAATAAGGAAACCATGAATTTCAGTTCTCAGCCCTTTAGGTAATCAAAATAGGAAAACCAAAACTAAATAGGTAGGTAAGAAATATTAATTATCAGTAAGTGTAATTATCAGCCAAGCAGCCCAAGCCAAGCGCAGTCCTAGCTCTGTGCTGGATTCTGGGCTTTGCAGGGATGTGTGAGTGGCAATGGGAGAGGGGCAGGATTGTTATTATGAGCACAAAGTGCTAATCTGCTGTCTAGGTCTTACTGAACCTGTCCCCTAACATTTACTCTAAAATGCTTTCAGCTCTTAAATTCACCTTCCAAACCCAGTAGGAGGTTAAAGCAGGACCCAATGGGAGGTTACATTTATTTAATATTCAGCCCTTTCTCTGATGAAATATTGCAGTCTATCCTCACAGGTATTTGTCAAGCCATTAGAGTAATGGTTTACAGCTATTATGCGAAATTGTCGTTCTATTTGTAACTTCCATTGACAAAGGATAAGCAAAGTGCACTCATTTCCTTTGAAAAGTACCCCAAACCTTCGCTTTGCCGGGCTGAGGGAGCACCCTGTGTTAACCAGTTCAGAGCTGCAAGCCGAGGCGATCCCAGGACCCGGAGTTTGGGAAGCCCGGGCCAGCCCCTTCGCACCCCGCGCTCCACAGCTCCCCGCAGACACTACCAAGAACCCCCTGGCACCACCCTGGTCCCAGTCATTGCGTTTGTAAACAAAACCTCTAAAACTGAATTCATAACTAGCTATGAAAATAACCTGTTTTTATAATAACCAGTACAGCTAGCACATATTATGACACTATTTTTTCCTATTATCCATTAAAAAGCAAGATGGTCAGAAGGAGGCAGTAATAATATAATGAAATACAGGGCTACCAAACTAAATCTGTCATGGAAAATGTATTGTGTGATTTATTTTAAATGCAATGCATATTTCACTTCTGCTGACTTCGTGGGTCGCAATTCCTTTGTGATTTCAAATTTGCTGTTATACATTGAGATTTATTTTCTAAAAGTTGAATTTTCATGTGTTTTGCTAAGATCTGAAAAGAATTTAGATAAAAATATAAAAACATATATTTTTCCCGTTGGAAAAAAAGACTAAAATCCAATTAAGCATTGTCCTTGCACAGAGAAAGTGGCACTCAGCTATCCAGGATGATACAGGCTAGAGTTTAGGCTACTGTATGAAGCGGTTGTAGAAAAAGTTGTCTTGATTTCCATATTTATCACCTCTGACCAACACTCATCATCGTTACAGAAACAAAGGAAACCTCTGAAAAAATATCTTCATCTTAAAATTGTCTGAAATGTTGCCCAAGAAACTTATTTTAAGAGACTAGTACCTCCGTGTGGCTAGTAACTGTGACTTGCAGTGATAATTTTTCACTTCTATGCTGTTCTTATTAACAGAGGATAAAGCAGCCATATACAGCATGTGTGAAAACTGTCCTTTAATTAGAAGGGAATCTGGTGTGAAACCTCTATTGAGAGTAGGCAGTTCAAGAGAGACTTTTTTCCCCCACTCCTGTTAAAAAAAATACATACATATATAGGTATATATGTATAAAATTACATCTACTTTCTACTTAAAAGGTTCTACTTAGAAGTAATTTTATGTCTTTATCTCGCTTTTAATTTGGGGAACTCTTCTTTCAGGAAAGCAGGAAATCACCACCGATAACCAGAGAGACTTTGGGAAGCGCAGCCGCGGGACAGAGCAGCGTGAGCAGGAAGGTGGCACAAGGGCAGGTGGAAGAGCCCGTGCGCCGGCCGCAGCTCCGCGGGTCCCGGCGCCGCGCGGGCGCCGCCGCCGCGGCCACCACGTCGCTCCGCGAGGCGCGGGCTGAGCGGGCGACACGCGAGTTATAAATATTTAGCACTCAATTGCTCGGTTGCTTCTTGCCCTTTGATAAGCAGAAACCAAATTGCTTTTCTGTTGCATAAAGTATCTTTCAAATTCAATTGCTTATCTCCTCATTCATTCAAGAGAGAGAAACCTCAGATTTGCAGGAACCAGAGCCCATGATACAAACATACTATATTAAACATACTACAGACATCTGAAAAATAACCAAAACACACACTATTGATTTTAACCTTCAATATCAAGGTATTCTCCAGTGGCCTCAAGGGGATCCAGACGATACGAATTTCCAATTATTCGAATTTCTATACACGGGATGAGTATTTAGTTATCAACACCCACCATAAAACATATTTCCAGGGGTTATTAAAGCCCTATTACTGGGTGGAATTGAGCACGTTCCTACAGCAAACCTCGGCTCTACGAGCGAGGCCGCAGCTCGGGATGCAGGAGGACGGCGCTGGCCCATTCCAGCCCCTTGCTCACTGCCTCCCCCAACACCAAGGCATTTGCAGCAGGGTTATTTTTCCTCCATAGATACACCAGAGGTACCAAAATAGCCACTTCTGCCTAGAAATGCCTCAGTGTCTAGAGCAGGGCTGGCACTAATGGCCAGAAGCAGCATCACCGTCGGTGGGCACCCTGCAAGAGGCTCCAGGGGCCTTCACTTGCAGATGAGGAGGGCACCCTGGGCTGCTCATCAACAGACAGGTCTCAGCTTCAGAACCAACCTTCCTGGGCCCCCCTCCTTTCTGAGGGCACAGAGGAGTTCCCAAGGAGCAACCAGTTTGTAACAACGCTGTCACCGAACATCTCTTGCGCTTGCTTGCCTCAGGGATTGCACCACTACCCGTTGGCATCACCAGGATCAACGCACTGCTTTGTATCCAACCCAGGACAGTGCGCGCGCGCACACACACACACACACACACACACACAGAAAAATCAAAAACAAAAGCAAAATCATCTTGCCTCTTCTGGATAGCCAAATGGGAGCACAGCTTATTGCACATCTGACTTCTACACTCCCAGTAATGAGAGCAGTTGGCACGAGCTTCTCATGGAATCAGTCAGGATGGTCACGCTGGATTTGGTAAGAGCCAAGACAATTTCACAGGGCGCCGTGGCGCAGGGCCTCGCCAGACCCCAGGCCCCACCACGGGCCGCAGGGCCCTGCTGAGGAGGGCACGGCTGCCAGGGCGCTCGCTGATTTTGAAAGACAGATTTGTGTCTTAATCTTTGCCGGTTCCCCTAGCACGCCACACAGCCAGGCCACAAAAGGGAATTAAGAACTGTGTTCATAAAAATGCACTTTTCATTGATAGAAAGGTGTTATAGTTAATGTAAAATTAAACTCCCTAAGAGCTGCTAATGAAACCACCGCTACAGGGCTCTGTTCTTGATGAAAGGACAGCGATCCCATCTGCAAGCAAAATAAAAGCCTCTATCTTGTAAGAAACCTCTCAGTCTACTGATTAATAATCTGAACTTTAAAGGCAACACGTAGGTGCTCAAAATAAGCTCCTGACACATTTCATCACCTCACTTCCACTTTCCAAACTCCTGCAGCTATCAGAGGTATTATTTACATTCCTTCTGGCATGCAGTGAATCTCCATCCAAACTCTTCAGTGCAATTTCTCTGTAAGTTCCAAATATTAGTTCACTAATTAGACACCAGTGACCAAGTGAAAAATAAACATTAGAGTATGTGTCTTAAAAGCAGCAAGCTACCTCTAGTAAACTACCTTTACAAGGCCACAACACATGTCAAGTTCCTCTATAAAAAAAAAAAAAAAAAAAAAAAAAAAAAACACTGATTTCTTATAAGAATTTTATCAAGGTCAGCTTTGAAATCAGCAGTTTTTGATGCATGGTAGTGATCTTGTTTGAGCAACAGTGTGAAGTATACTATTTTTCAATTTTCCATGAATCTTCTAAGGTTTGAAAGAAGTTTTTTAAAAGCAGATACTGAACAAATGCCAAACCCAGCAGGGGAAGCAGCTCACCAAGCCCTGGGCGGTCACGTCCCATTGCTGTCCGCCCTCCTGCGCAGGAGCTGCCGTGACAAACCAGCAGATCCGGGCAAAGACTGAGCCCCCAGGTCCGAGGCTGCTACAGCTCATAGCAGCAGTAGTAGAAGAGTCTAAAAAGGGGATGATAAATGAATCAGTTCAAAGTAAAAGTAATGACTCATTTTTAACAGAATTTTATAGGTGCAGCTTCATAGTGCAGAATTTTATAGGTGCAGCTTCTTTTTCAAGAGAAAAAGGAGGTACATTGGAAATTTGACTTTTGGAAATTCAGCTCATTTTAAGCACTCTTTCCAAGCAGATTCTAGTAAGTGTCATTATGAAGAAGTAGTCTTGAATTTTATATGGGTTTGCTTTATTTTTCTAAAGAGAAGATAAGACTGTGAATTTGCTAACATCTCCACTATTTCCCATGCTGAACCTACAAGTAGAGAACTGCTATTACATGTTTATTTTCACACTTGCAAAGGGAGTTTATGTTTCATGCCAACTTTCAACCCAAGGAGAGCTCAGAAAACAACCACCTTAACGCAGTGGTAAACACAGCAGTTCAGGAGCACGTCGCTGCTGCGGCGAGCGGGCCGAAGCGCGTTGCGCCTCTGCCAAGCGCCTTCACCACGCCGTGCAGTGGAAAAGGGCCCCAGCGTGGAAACAAGGGGCAGGTCCCCGTGAGTCTCGTGCGGAGCGCTGCACAGCGTGCCCACGGCCACCTGACAGCGCGTGCGTATCCGGCTCCTAATAAAGCCGCACTAAAGGACACGCGGCGTGTGCCATGGAAACGCAGGTTGCCATGGGAAGGCTGCTCTTTAGTGAAGGGCGCTTGGCTCTCTTCTTGCACTGGCTTTAATAAAATCACAACAAATTTAGCTTAAGCACCAGCAGAGTTATCCCCGCAATGGTCAGCATGGATGAGCAGGCAAGAGCTGCCCACGCAGGACACCCTGCACTCGCTGCCAGGGCAAGAAGGGCCACAGTCCGTCACCCGATGGGTTTTTATTTGCCTAAGTACCAAAGGGTTTCTGTTAAAATGTGCGTGCTGTTTTAAACGAATGAAAAGTATGAATCAAATGAACTTAAAGCATATTGGTTGCCAAACATGCTAAAATGAAGTCCGAATTGATGCGTTTCATCTACCTTATTCATTAAAACGGCACTCACCACGTCCTTGTGTTGCTGCAATCTCCAAAGCGCTGGACAAACATGTACATTTGTTTATCTTTATCACTCTTGCCTTACTAAACAATGGGGTTTTATTAAAAAGATCAATCACCTGCGTACAGTTTAATAGCTGGGCTGCACATTCAAGACAACCTGCTTCAACAGTCCGCAACTCCCAAAGTAGAGCAGGCCACGTATAACCATTTGTTGCTTTAATAAAATAAAATTTTTCTCAGAGCTAGCAAGTACCCTGCCAGACTTGGTAATCTGAAGCTGAAAAGCAGCGCTTAAAAGAAACCATTTCTAATAAATAGAGCAAGATCAATTCTGCTTGCTTACCTCCAGGAGAGCCCTTTGCTGCTAACCGGAGACACGAGGACACTTCCCAGGAATTGGCACCCTCCTTCTCTGACCGAATCCCGCTTCCCATGGGAGCTGCTTTGGAGGCTGTTAGTGGGGCTTGGGGTCACAGGAGGATTGCTGCTCCTAACGAACGAACCCGAGAACAGAGGCTGAAGTGTTAAATATTAATGGTATAAACAAAACGTACAGAGGAAGGCTATTTGGAAATGCTGATGAACAGTCTGAAATACACTACTGAAAGACATCTACTTTTTCTTACAATCTACTGCTGTAGAAGCTAGCAGGAAAGTTGACAGGGCAGCATAGGAGATAACATTACGTACTCCTGCTGCTCCACGTTACTCCCAACTGCAAAAGCTGCCTCCTTTTTGGTGACAGAGGAAGCAAACCTAAAATTAATTAAGATCACAGCTTAGAAAACTTGTCACTTTTGCACAGTCAAAAGAGCTGGTAAAGAGTTCAGCCCCCAAACTGTCCCCAACATGTTAGTGAAGAACCAAAATCTTCTAAATAGATAAAAATTTAGTTCATCAAGCTTTTTGGAGCACTTATACATACTTATACTTAGTTTTATTAAAAAATTACCTGTTCATTCAGAGAAAAAATTTAGCTATCTACTCAGCAAATAATATGGCACATAGGACAAATGCTGGTAGCTGTAATACAAAAGAAAAGAAAAGAAAAGGGTAAAAAGTCTAATAGTTTTGAAATACCATGAGAAGAAAATAAACTAAGTGGGCTAAGTATCAGCAACTATTAGAAGAGGACACTAGGTGGTCAGAACGTAGTCCACAGATTTGGAAAGTAGCAAGAGGAGAGGAACCCCTCCCTCAGCACCTATCAGCTGCTCCTGCTGCCAGCGATTATGGCAATATTTCACAGGGAACATATGGCAATGTTTATAGCCATCAGGCAGTATTTCACAGAAGCTGCGACACCATGTGTCCACCAACTAGCCTTTCTGATTGCAATTAATTAGAGAAGAAGCAGGAGGCACTTTTTAAATAACATTAAGTCTCAGATTCCTTGAGTCCCATGGCCTGTGCACAAGACTAAGTGACAGGGAAGTCTATTAAAATCATAGCAAGCCTAGTGCAGTGAGGCTGTCCTTGAGGAACAAGACCTAATAAAAAATGAAGAAAAAAAGAAAAAAAAAGGAAAGAGCACTCTTTTAGGAGAATAAGAAAGAGCACAAGTACAATAAACCATTCAGGGTGGTGCTTTGGAAGCCTGCAACAATAAGGAAATATTTGAAGGCCTTTAACGTGGCACTTTATGAAACGGACTGTACAGAAAGTGCCACAGCGAAAGCTATAGGAGCTGTTTTATAGCTGAGAAACCCATGAGAATGTGCAGCAAAATTATATGGGGTTCTATTAAGAAGCGGAGACTTATGAAATGTACCATGGCAGTCATTTCACGATTCCTATTTTAATAAGAGCAAGCACAAGGGGAAAATCAAGACTCCTAATGTACATGATAGGTTTGCAGGCAGTGGCGGCGAGCGGAAGCAGCCCTGGCACGGGTGCCAGCACCCACGGGAGCACCCGATGGTCGGGACACAGTCCATCCCCTGCAGGGACCTCCTGCCAGTGCCGCCCCATCCAGCCCCACGAATCGGTGGCAGAGTTGGCTCCAGAACCAGCACAAGGGTGCCACAAAGCTGAGGAGTGCAGCCCGCGGCCAGGCTGCTCCCCAGAGCCACAGCATTGCCAAGCAGCAGCGCCGGGAAACCCGGATCCCCGCTGCTCCTGGCCCGGGATTGCACCCTCGGCAGTGGAGCAGGAGCCCAGGAAGGAGGTTGCTGCCCTGGGAATAACCTCAGAGCACAGGTCTGTGTCTGATACAGCTGAGCTCTTCCCAGAGCTGTGGTGTGGATGCCTCTCCCCTCCAGGCCCCGCTCCCTTCTTGCAGGGGTGCAGCAGCCAAATGGGCAGCAACATCTGAGGCTCTCAAGGTCTGCAGGCAGTGCAGTTACACAAGCTTCACAACCCCAAGAAAGGAGGCTTTTCAACTCCTCTACCATTATATTGCTGTTATTTTAGCACTTCATCACTAACCTCTGATTTTTATTACTGTCCTCTTCAGGTCTTCTGAGACACTGAGAAATGCAAATGGTATTAGCAGTGATAGAAACATCCATTTTTCTCATTATCCTCAAGAGCAAAATTCCTTATGGCACCCAAGGAGGGTGTCAGAAAGGCAGTCTAATGGCCACACTGCTCCTGACTAACTGCGATACAACAATATTCAGTTTATCCCTGTAGATGTGACATGAGAGAAAATGCAACCCGTGTTTAAAAAGAACATCAGATTGCTATGATAGGTAAAATCTTTCCACTATCATTAAAAAGACTATTTTGAAATTCCAGATGCTGGCCTGACATCAAGCAGCAGCTAAAAATATGTCACCAGGTCACCCACTGCTGAACTTCTATGATGACAATACAGTAACTAAAAAAAAAAAAAAAAAGAAAGAAAAAAAAAATACATGCACTCAGAGCTATATATACCACTATCGAGATAAAATGACAGATGGCAACTTTGCCATCCTTATCTCCACCTTCCTAGGAGCGGAGTTAATATTTCGAACCACGCACGCAGCCTGCAAGGCTGCTTCCAAGCTCCGTATGCGACACAGACGTCCCCAGCGCGTGAGGCTGACAGCTGCCACCGACTCCAACAGCTCTGCTCAAGTGCCCACCACAGCTTACAGCAGCTCTCCAGAATTAAGAGGATCCTGGAGGAGAATTGCAACTTATTCCCTAATAACAGGCCTTCCCGCGGCAGCCCTGCAGGGAGCGCGGAGCGAGGCGCCCTGGCCACTTGCTGCGGAGCGCAGCGATGCCAACGTGACGTGCAGAGGGTCTCAGAGGTGCACGATTATCTGCCTGCCATCCATTGCCCACAAAGTGCTCTGCTGCCTGGGGAAGCAGGAAGGAGATGGGGACAACATGGAGAAAAGCTCCATGGTTCTGGTGATCTTGTGTCACACCCTCTGTGTGCTGAAACCACCCAGAGTGGTCGACCAGAGGGCTGGTGATTTGTTCTCATACACCTGGCCCCTTCGTACCGTGTCAGAGGGTCTGGGCTCTGCCACTTGTCTACACTGTATAAATTTAAAATAATTTAGAAGTGTAAAGAGTCGCTTTAATGATTAACTGCCTTTACCATGAATATTAGAGCTCTGTGAAACACTGATGCTGTAGAATACGTTGACTGCTCACTCCAGAATTTACTTAGACTCATTGCAGCACGATTCAATGTGATTTTGATTTAGACTGGCACAGAAACTAGAGGTAAAGCTAGGTTGAAATAAAAACTTTTTTCCCTGATCTCACAGTGAATCCATGAAAACCTGAATTTGACACATTTCTCATGCTCTGCCTAGATCTACTTTAAAAGTATCACGCTGAGAATCAAAAATTCAATTTCAACTTCACATTTAAACAGATAAGTTGTGCTCAAGCATTTTACAAAATCCTTGCACAGCTTTTCTACTAGTCGCGAGGGGAAAACCACACAAGTCACTGTGAATCCACAGAGGCCTGGATATCTCATATCATTCAGCTAAAGACATACCTAGCATGCTGTGCTATTATTTGGATTACCTCCTACACGACTAAGTGGATAACATGAAACACACCTGACAAATATGTCTTTTTTTATGCTCATGGAATTTGACAATATTGTAATTTCTAAGCACGCACCTTTAGGAAGAAATGCTATTTTCAGGTGTCCTGGGCTGCTCTGGCACCTTTGCATGTTTCACATAGGAGAGCACCTGGGGGCAGAAGGAGACTCAGCTGGAGCTTTCAGGACTCATCCTGGGCACGACACCCTGGAGATCCTTCCTGCCCAAACATTGACAAAAAAAAAAAAAAAATCCAAGTTGGAACCCAGACATCCTGGTGTTTGATTGTCTATAAAAGCCATTTCCAAAACCACACTGAAACACTATTTTGTGCTGCTGGCCGCAAGCACTTGGCATCCCCAGTGCCGTGGCCTCCCAGCCCAGCAGCACGTGTCTATTCTCAAAGTTGTCTTCTTCCTCACCCACGCTTAGGAAAACGCCATTATTTTACAGGCTACAGCTCAGGATGGAGGGGAACGGGAAGCCCTGTGCTAACTTGCCCTGACACAGAACAGAAGATCAGATGGGTCACTGGGCAATGTGGGCTTTACCAAAAGGCAAATTTGCCCAAGCTGCTCTCCGAGCGCTGGCCGGGCGCCCCTCGCGGCCACACGCCCTGGGATTCAAGGCTCTGCTTCTGGTGAGAGGAATACCAACAATTAGTGTGTTTATACTTGCTTGCTTCACATTTTCTCCAAATGAAAATTACTGATGTTGGAATGATATTTGCAAACTAATTTGTATTCACATTTTACACTTCGAAGGCAGTGATAATTCTCAGGACTGCAGAAACTCCCTCATCATTTTGCTTTAAGAAAACCCAACAGGGACACTAGGAGCTGGATTATAAATTCACTCCAATAAAGCTGCTAGTCTTAAAAAAGGGAAGGTAAAAGAATGAGGGGATCTATGCTGCTAATCCACAGTACTACTAAAAGTTGACCCTCCCAAACACTTTGCCCCCCTAGCAAAGGGCCCACAAAGCCCATCCAGGCTGCATTTCTGCATCATCTTAGGGCCTCTCTGCCTACAACCCCAGACCTGCCTCGTCACCGCAGAGATGAACCTGAGTCTGATGCCAATCATGGCCCTCAGGCCGAGCCGCCGGCCACACGCAGTGCAGGGGGACAGGGCCTGCCTGGGTCAGCTCCTCAAGGATCAAGTGCTCCAAGCACGCTCATTAGCGCGCCCTGTCCTAACGGGGTTGCAAGGAGGCTCGGAAAGGTGGGCATCAAACACCAACAGCCTCTGCTGCAGCCCCGCAGCAGCGGACAAGGATGAGCACAGGAGGTGCTGCATGGCTTGGCAAGGACCAGCTCTGCAAAGAAGGGCACAATGAGCACTTCTGTGCCAGGTAAAGCATCGATTTCTAGGTCTGCTCAGGTCTTATAGTTCGGTGTGATTTAATCATTTGGAATAATTCTCAAAAAGTTTGACGTTAGAGAAAGGATTTCTTAGTTGTTTCTTGGATGACTGCAAACCCAAAGGAGTTTTCATCAGCAAGGGCAGATGAAGGATTTCTGCCACAAGGGCCTCTTCCCCAAACAACAAACTGGAAGGTGCACTGTGCCCAGAGGCAAGGGGGCAAAGGCATGCATGTTTTCCCCTTTCCAATGCACCTCAGGGTTGTTTAGCCTACACAAACTCTCCATAGATGCTATTGCCATTGCTGCTCCCTCTAGACAACATCCTTCCCAGCCCCCTTTTGGGAGCACTTTCAGGTCTTCTGAGTGTAATTTGAGCTGGTCCTTCTCACCTTGTCTTTCTCACTGATTTATTGTATTAAACAACCTGTAACTCTTTCAATAAAAACTCAACAACAGTAACTATCAAGCACGTCATTTTCCTTGTCAAACATCCTCTCTTTCCCAATAGATAGCAGCCTGGAACTCATTTTTAAATTGTTCTCTTGTTTCTTGTGCATTCATAAGCCTTTCTCTTATTTCCTTTATATCTGTTATTGGCAGCAGTCAGTTGATGCCCATATATCATCACTCATTTTCTGGTAATTTTTCCTCTTTACAGTATTGTGCAAGTCTTTAAAATCTTCACTATTCCACACCTCTTCTTATTAGAGCAAATACAGGAAATACTAAGAAATCAGTATCATCAGTGATCTGGCTTTAGGAAACAAGAGTAGATCTGTCCCAGTTTTAAGCAACATGTTTTCTTCCTAACTTTAAATCAGAGTTAGAATAAAGTCTCTTCTAAAATATAAGATTTATGACTAGTATTTATATACTGCACGTGTTTTATGAATTTATTGGATTTCCCACACAGATAAAGCTGCACTTTCAATTGTCAGTGACACTAAGTATTCCCTGAAGGATTCTGGGCTCAGCTTCTTCTATCCATTAATTTCATTTGAAGTTACGTGCTCCACCATACAAGGATTAGGATATGCACTTGCTTCAGAATTTAGGATGGATTTAGGAGATGGCCCCATCTGAGCCCACTCACCTTGTCTCCTGGTGCCATCCAGCTGCTTCTCCTTCCCTGAAGCCACCAGCAGAGCCGGTTCAGGCAGGCGCAGAGGGAAGAGAAAGATGTTCAGGAAATCGGTCTGATGTACAGGCACAGGAAAGGTCTAAAGTAAATCAGGAAAAAACCCCACCACACATTAATCCTTATTTCTTCTCTAGAATATTTCCCCATTTTTCAGTCCTTTTGGCTCGCTGCTCTTTCTGATCTTCTCTCAGATGGCCACTTCCAAAAGGGGCATCTCCTTCAAGGATAGCCAGAGGGTCCCCATTTGCACAGCTCCACACACAGCCACGTGGGATTCACATGCAGAGGGCAGTCGAAACCCAACAAAGTCACTATTTGGAAAGTGAGACCTTTGGGGGCAACAGAGTTTGGGGGAACACCACAGGTCTTCCTGAACGCTGGGCAGCAGGAACCCTGCTGGACCCTCAGCTGAGCAGCCCCAGATGGACCAGGACCAAGCAGGTCAGTGCATCTCTCTGGAGAAAAAACTCAACAGGCTTCACAAGCTGGAAAAAAAATAAGACAAAAATTTAGAGTAGCTACTTTTGCAGCAAAAAGCAAATACAAGAGATGGCAAATCAATCAAAATGCAGTTAAATTTAAGGACAAAATATGTTATGAGCACCCACACCCTAACAGTTGTTTACTTCCTACTTCTTTTGTTCAAAGCTGGCTCTTCTCCTTTCTGGTTACACAATGTAATGTCAGGTCACCTTTGCTTTTTCTCCATTTTTTGCTTTGCATGTATTTGATAGTTTTGTTTTTAATAAAAATGGAGGTGTTTCTTGGCATTTCTTCTGCAACAGCAGGGCTTGAACCTAAGGTCAAACAAAAGGAACAGTGTGTTCGGTTGCCATGGAAACCATACCAGTATCATATCAGGTACAGCGATACCAAGAATGAAGTGATAAAATCACTACATTAGTTTAATAAACAAGTTCCATTGTCGTCATTTTACTATATATACAGCGATTCGAGAAATATCAAATTTCAGAGTTTGCTCTGCTTGGCCTATTCTTCATTATCTAACAAAAATGAAAAATGATTTCCTTTAAGGGCTTCAGAAATACAGGTATTTTGAGAACTCATTAAGGCTGAACTACATTTTAAAGCCATATTCTAGGTACACCAAATTTTGCAGATCCTAAAAAGCCCTAAAACCCTCATTTGACATTTAATTTCAATTCCCATCCAACATTTTCTTACCCTGCCCCAACCTTTTAGTAAAGGCATAATTAAATTTTAAGTGTAATTCTTAAGCTGTCACCCCAGCAGTGTTTGGAAAGAACGCTCTTTCAAAATACCCCACGCCAAGAGGAGGACACGGAGGGGCGGCCGGGGATGCCGGGGATGCTCCTGGAGCATCTCCGGTGCGTGGACCGGGAGCCTCCGTGGTACCCGGGCATGAACCAGCACCCCCAGCTCGCTGCAAAACACTGGGCAGCCCAAGGCAAAGGTCTCACAAACCAACCCCCCCCAAGAGCAGCCCAGAGAAGCCCCCAGAGATGCTGGGCACAGCTCCACGTTGGACACACGGCTTCAGACCTGAACTGCTGATCTGGAGCACTTAGAACATCACATTGGGCTAGTGCTGACGATGGTGACTACAGAAATAATTATCCTTCATTTCCCTTTCAGGGATAATTCCACAAATGGAAATGAATGGGGCCAAGTGGTCCTGAGAATCCGAGATAACTCTAGAAAGTCGGAAAATCCAGAGTGAGTGATTTATTTGTGAAATAATTTTGAAATTGCTTTGCATAGAAATAGGATCTTGGAGCAATGTCTTTAGCCATGCAGAACAGTTGCGTTGATTGAGAGCTGTGGCCAAGGAAAACAAAACTTCCTTCTATAACAGAGCATTATAAGAGGTCTTCGTGCCTTCTTCAACCAGATCAAGAACAAAGCACATTCCAGCTAACCCAAAAGCCACCAGCACAGCATCACTCAGAAGTCCCACAAAAAAGTCACCTTCTGCTTGGTGCCACCAAAAATGACATTGCTTGATTTTGGTTGCCAACCAACACTGCAAAACCAGTCCAGACGTTTACCACCCACACTTAATCTCCTTGTGCACCTCAGACAGGCTCTAGCCACAGTGCTTTGTCTATCCCAGGACACATCACTACCAATATATATATATATACATTTATATATAAAAGAAATGAGATAATATTTATAAAATATGTTAATTTAATTTTATATGGTTAACATTTACATTCCAGATAAAATTAGGCTAAAAAATGAATCATTCTGTTACAGAAAAACGCTTTTAAGGCATTATCAGAGTCCTGGAACAATCCTGCATTCACCTGCTCCTCAGAACATGCCATTTGTTTCGATTTTACCCACTTGTGTCAGCCCGACATCAGTGAACTAAGCACCACACCAGAGAAGCCTACGGTCCTCTGAGCACATACCCACACACAGCCTCGAGTGCTGTAAGGATTATAGCCGTAGCTGCCAGTTTCTGTTAAGAAAAAATCTCGGGGCAGAAGGGCAGGTTGACCTAATCGGCAGGTCATTTGAATAGGTTTTGCAGTGGGGGCATGGCTAATCCTCAGCTGACAGTCCAGCCTAGAAATTTTATTTTTCTTTTTTCTTTTTTTTTTTTTTTTTAATCCATGATTAATGGACTTGACATCCATGCTCCCACAGCTTCTGCTAAACACAGAGTTCAGAGCTTATTGTTAAATACCACTGAGATCACAGAAAACTAAACTCTTATGACAGTGGAACGGCTGTGCCAGAGGGCAGACTTTTCTCCGAGACACGTATTGGATTACACCAGAAATATAACGCACAATAATAGGGCACGACAAAAAGCTTTGTGATTCTCAGGCCCCTCAATACCTTCATCCTTTAAAACACACTGACCTTTCTGAACGGAAAATAGATTGTGGGAGATAAGAGATGTAAAGAGATAACACCTTATCCAAAATTATACTGGGAAACCACATGCACAGAGAGTGTGTTTATCATATTTATGCAGAGGTATGTGCAATCAACTTGACCTTTTATTTCACATGCAATTACTAATCAAATTCTTAAAGTAATTTGACTGAGCGGTGGTTGGAGATCCTTTTCCTCCAGAGCTGGCAGCACAGGATGTGAGCTGAGATATAAGATTTGGAAATACATTTTAAATCCTGAAGACGTTTGGATCCAATTAGTATCAAGAGAATCACATGTTCACAGACAAGAAAAGAACAAAACAGAGACAGGAACCTATACTCTGAGGTATAAAACTTAATTTCCTACCTTCTGTACTAACTACATGCAGACTGTTCTAGCTGCTTCAAGGAGCTTTTCTAACCCTTTACTTTCTATAAAAAATCACTGATGAGTATTTCCCAATTTATACTTTCCTTTACATTTTGCACATAAACTACCAAGAAAAATAAAAAAGAAAAAGAAATAGAACACGTCAGTCTGTAAAGGGGTAGCAATGTCAGTTCATCAGGGACGCAGCTTAAACAGTTAGCTCTGTCTGAACTATCCTTGTTCCAGACCGGAAAGTATTTCAAGCCTTAATTACTGCAGTCTGCAAGACTGTGACAGATCTTTCTTTTTCATATGGGCATCTTGCCAAGACAAGATGAAGCATGAATTCCTCTTTTAAAAAGTCTATACTTAATTAGTGCCTTAGCTAACTTTATGTTGCTTCCATGATTCAATTGACTACTTTTTGCTCTGGCAAGCACACCCGTCTGCTGCAGTTTTGTGGCTCACAGGGTCAAACCTATTTTGCAGATATTTTCACTTTCTTTCCCCCTAGATGTAGAGAGGAAAAGAAACCAAAAATTTCTAACTTCCATGAGGAAAAAAAAAAAGCTGCTCCAGGTTTTCCTTAATATATCTCTATCCACTACTTGCCTTGCTGCTTCAATACGATGCTGTAGTATGCTGAAGCATGTTTACATCAACAGCTCGATGTGGAAAGAGAAATAAGAGAGGCAGAAGAGCCTAAGTCACTCAGAGGCTGAACACAAGCACGTTCCCCATTTGACACGCGCTAAGTTGAGCCCTATGCAGCTCTCCTGTCGAAAGCCCCAGCTAATGCCTGCCCGGTGAGGGTCTCCCACAGCCCGTCCTCGCGCACCAGCACAGCCCCTGCCGAGCCGGCCTTGCTCCCCCCAAACTCTCCTTTGGGGCAGGTGAAGGCAGTTTTGGGCAAGGAGAGCTGCCCTGGCCAGGACCTTGTCTCCAGCTTTGCGACCTTTCTCTCTCACAGTTACCAATCACCAGCTGAGCAGTATCTGGAATGAGTCCCTGCTTCCCCGCGCGTGCGTGTGTGCAGCCCAACTCAACCTGCCGTTGCACAGGTCAGTAGCTAGAGCAGATTTCAGGGAGCATTGGGTCGCATGACACAGCGTGATCAACTTTTACCTCAGCACAACACAAGGCAGTTACCAGCTTCACCAGTTGTCATATCCACCGCTTCCAGGGACGATGAACATCAGTTACAATAAAACACACCTCAATTCTGCCATTAGCTCAGGGTCTACAATGGCAACGTCTCTTCCAAGCACAATTTTCAGATGTCAGATAACACAGAAATAAACACCAATATTTACATAGTCTTTCTGTGTCAGGGCATTTTCAGATCTCCTATCCACAATGGGTTCCTTGCTATGAACATACCAAGTGTCTTTCTCCTCAAACCTTCTCTGGCAATCCTGTAGATGTTCCTGAAGAACCAGGAATGCTATCATTTCAGTGAAGTCTTTCATATGTGACCTTCCATTTTGCTATATTGGGACATTCACCACTTCTATACAATTTGTAGTGCTCCCGGGCAGGGATCTGGCACTACCCCAATAACAGCCACACAGGAGGGCATGGGGACAAGCCAGGAGGATCCAGTGCTCTGTTAAATTAAGTTGAAAAGTCAAATGGTGTCACTAGGTTCATGACCAAGAGCAAGTTATATTTGTGACATGAGGTCAATACCTCGGTTTCTTTTTTTTTTCTCTGTCCTCTCCTCTCACTCTGCTTGCTGTCTTAGCCTTTGATATCTCAGTGAAATGAGCATGACAGTTTACACATTTCTGTAAAAGTAAAATTAAATTAAGCTAAAATGAAATAAAATAAAATCAATTTCGGCTGCCTTCCTCCAAGCAGAGCGGATGCATCATGTGCTGCCTTCAGGAAGCCCGGGCCGGCTCACAGCACACGCCGCTGGCCGCACGCAACACGGCCGCTCTGCTTTCTGGCATGGACAAGGGTTTTTTCCTTGAAAGGAAATATTATTTTTGGAGAAGACAAAAAAGTCTAACGAAAATATCTGATTACATCCCTTACAATATCATTAGACCTAGTGCAATGCTATCCATTACCTTTAACAAACACACTCCACCTTGCTGTGTCCAGGAGACCGTTTGGGCCACTAAGGAAGCACAGAGTGCAAGAGTGACCTTGTAACACTATTAAAAACAGAAAAAGATGCAAATCACTGCTAAAAACTGTCT